TCTGTCTGTTGTGCTTGATTCAATCTTTCTTTCCCTCCTCATAGTGTAGATTTTCAGTTCCTGCCACGGTCAGAATAGGAGGCGAATGGGAGCAGAATAGGCCTGACAAACAGCATCACAGAATCACCTGTTTCCCAGCTATGTCCCACCTGCAGGAAATTTTTCCCAACCATGCGGGGATGCATTGAAGATGGGGAACAGGCAACAGGTCTGTCTACACATGGTTGGTAGTCAGTCCAGCTCACTGTGAGCCACTTACAGAGGCAATTCAAGAGGGATGATGAGAATTTTACACATCAGCCTCCCACAGGAAACAGGGTCCAGCTTGGATGATAGTAAGTAGCTGGCTGGTGGCAGATGGAGGGGTCCAGAACTCGAGGCAGACCTAATGGTTAAGGGGAAGTGATGACCTTGTGGTATTGTTAATGGACTGTCAATCCAGAGACTCAGTTAATGTTCTGAGGACCCAGGTTTGAATCTCGCCACGGCCAACAATGGGATTTGAATTTAATGAAATCTGGAATTAGGAGTCTAATGAGGACTATTAATCCATTGCTGATTGTCAGGAAAAAAAAACCCATCTAATTCACTAATGCCCTTCAGGGAACGAAACTGCCATTCTTACACGGTCTGGCCTACATGTGATTCCAGAACCATCGCAATGTGGTTGACTCTTAACTGCCATCTGGGTAATTAGGAAAGGGCAATAAATGCTGGCCTAGCCAGTCATGTCCTTGTCCCGTGCATGAAGAGCAACAAAGCCCTCCCTGCCTTCCTGTGGGGAGGAGCAGCAATGGATCACCCTGTAGAATGGCAGCCCAACCTATGCCCTTTGACGTATCTCCTTAAGAAATCTGATAGGACGTATAGCTCCATCTGTGAATGGTTTGCACTGTGATGTATTTTTGGGTTATTAATCTATGGAGCTAAAACGCTGGTTTGGCCTCAGCTGTGGCTCTAAACACCACACGTTAAGAAGGATGTGAAGTCATTATGGAAAGTGCAGAAGGTGGTTAGCATCCTTGCCTTCATTGCACAGACCTTTGAGAATTAAGGTCAGGATGTCATGTTGAGGTTGTACAGCACATTGGTGAGGCCTCTTCTGGAGTATTGTGTGCAGTTTGGGTCACCCTCCTGTCGAAAGGGATTTTATTGAATTCGAGAGGGTTCAGAAAAGATTTACCAGGCTGTTGGCATGAATGGAGAGTTTGAGGTATAAAAATAGGCTGGGACTTTTTTCACTGGAGAGTGGTGGTGACCTTACAGAGGTTTGTAAAATCATGAGGGGTGCAGATAAGGTGAGTAGCAAGTGTCTTTTCTCTTCAGTAGGGGAGGTCAAAACTAGGGGGAGAAAGTTTTAGAAAGGATATGAGGGACCATTTTTTTACACCAGAGAGTGGTTCGTATGTGGAATGAACTGCCAGAGGAAGTGATGGAATGTGGGTCCAGTTACAACATTTAAAAGACATTTTGATAAGTACATGAATAAGAACGGTTTGGAGAGATATGGGCCAAACATCGCAGGCAAGTGGGACTAATTTAGTTTGGGAACATGGATCACATGGACTGGTTGGACCAAAAGGTCTGTTTCAGTGCTGTATGACTCTATGAATGGTTCCAGAGATAAGGAACTTCAGATACATAGATAGATTGGGGGAATTAGGATTGTTCTCCTTGGAGAAGAGAAGGCAGAGAGGAGATTTGATAGAGGTATTCAAATCATGGGGAATCTGTACTGAGTAGATAATAAGAAACTATTACCAATCATGGAAGGGTCAAGAGCCAGAGAGCACAGCTTTAAGGTAATTGCCAAAAGTGATGAAAATTCTATTTCACCCAGGGAGTGGTTAGGACTTGGAATGCACTGCCTGTTGTGGACTGGACACAGTGTCAATTGAGGTTTTCAAAAGGGGATTGGATCATGATCTGAAAAGGGAAGATTTGCAGGGCTGTAGGAGAGTGGCATTCAGTGAATTGCTCCCTCAGATGTCCAGCAAAGATTTAACTGGCTGAATAGCATCCTTGTCAGCTGTGACCCTTCCATGATTCTGTCAGTCTCCAAGACTTAGGAACAAAAACAAAGTTGCTGGAAAAGTTCAGCAGAACTGATGGTGGCTGGGAAAACGTCAGTTTATATGCAGAAAAAAGGGAGGTGGGTGGGGTACGGAGTAAATGATAGGATAGAGCCTAAAGAGAAAGAAGAGCAGTTGGATAGACAAAGGGTTGATAATGATCAGGCTGGGAGGGTGAATAGTTGTTAATGGGAACTCTTAGTGACTAACAACAGGTGGTGTGTAGTCACGAATAGTCACTAATCGTTTACTCCCTACCCCATCCACCTCCCTGTTTTCCGCATATAAACTGACGCTTTCCCAGCCGCCATCGTTTCTGAGGAATGGCTACCGGACCTGAAATGTTAACTCTGTTCTTACCTTCACAGATGCTGCCAGACCTGCTGGGCTTTTCCAGCAACTTTGTTTTTGTTCCTGATTCACAGCATCCGCAGTTCTTTCGGTTTTACCAAGATTTAGGAATTGGTTCCAGTAATTTCCAATGCTTGTTGTGTATCCTACAGGTTTCTGCTTCAACACGTTCCACTTGATGGAACAAAATGAAGCTCCAATAGCACCTTTCAATGTAATGTCAGACAACGCTCATACATCAATATATCAACAAATTTTGCTTATGTGGTGACTTTTAATATACAAAAGCAAATTGCTTCTTAAGCAGACACTTTAATCTGTCTAACTTTTTTCTGTAAGACCGTTTTATTGGGTCAGTATCCGCATTGACTGTGCTCCATAAGTGGTGCATTGAGTAGATTCACTGACCTTTCGGCGTTACCAGATGTTGGGTGGGGAACAGTGATGACACTTAACATGGGCAGTGAATTCAAAACAGTCCCTTTCAGACCCCAGTCCTGCTTCCACTCTGTTATCTCAGCACGGTGTAAAACAGGCTGCCTATTCCTAAATTACCTCGGTTATGCACTGCTGCCTAGGATGGATTCACCCTCACTACAAAGATGCAAGAATTCACACTGTGGTAGAAAATTAAATAATGCCGTCATTTCTGTAGCCAGAGATGTGATATTTCCACCTCAGCCATTGTATTGTTTAATGTACAAGTGCAAATGCTTGGATTGTAAAATCTGTCCAGTGGGCAACAACGGTTTTGAATGCAGAGTAAACTTAACATAGCAACAGCCAGTCTAAAGTCAGCTATTTCAGGGAGTGAGCCAACGTACAAACCCTCTAATTGATAGTGCCCTTTTGAAGCTGCACAGAGAAATGAGACCTCAAGCGAAGCCTCTCTTGGCAGCTTGGTTGCGTATTAAACAAGAAGCAGCCGTGTAAGTAATGGAGACGCTACTAACTGCTTGGAGGAGGTCCTCCAGTTCCAAGGCGGGTGTCCCAGCGTGTGCCTCCTGCAAAGTCAAAAAAAAACTGTGCAGTGAGAGTTAAGGAAAAGGGTAGCCTAATGGATTTAATGGTCATTAGGTACATGATGTTTTCAGTGCAATAATCAGCATGTGCTACAGTCTGTAAAATGGGCACGAAAGAACATCTGCTCCATAGAATGGGTTTCTGCCAAATGGAGTGCGCGTGTGTTGAATACTTCTCCTCACACTGTGAAATGTGTTCTATTGCAACACAATGCAGGCAACACGATAGAGTGTGCTCAACAAGTGAATGCCCCACAAGTTGCCAAAACTGTATTAAAGCATTCTACTCAGTACACATGGAAATGTATGTCTTCGCTGCCCTACTCGGCCTCAGTCCCTCACAGGTATGCTGTCCAAAAATCAGGAAACGTGACTTACTTTTTCACCTTGCCTTTTTACTTAAATTTATTGATTTCAGTTTTCTTTTGTTTAAAAACCCTAGCGCTTTTGAACCACATCAGCCAAAATGGCTCAGAGGAGACACAAAGTACAACTGTGCCAAAGAATTTGATTACCATCAGGAGAGGTGCAAAGTCTTTCATTGTAGTTTCTAGTCCAGTCACTGCTGTAAGGACCAGGCCTCCGTATCTCCTTTGAAATGGCTCAGTGCAGGTTTCAAAAAACTGGCACAGCATGAGGAGGTCTGGCTGGGTTCCACAGGAATTGGGGTTAAGAGTACTATTGGCAGGCAGAGAGGTGAAAACTTCTTGGCAAAGCATGTACTCACGATTCAAAACGCACTTCCTTCAAGGGGGTGGAGGCATAGAGTCAGAGTCATACAGCACAGAAGCAAACCCTTCAGTCCATCTTGTTCATGCTGACCAGGTTTCCTCAACTGAACTTGTCCTATTTGCCTGTGTTTGGCCTATATCCCTCTAAACCTTTTGTATCCATGTACCTGTCCAAATGTCTTTTAAATGGTGTAACTGTACCCACCTCTCCCTCTCCCACTTCCTCTGACAGCTCATTCCATGTACTCACCACCTTCTGAGTCAAAATGTTGCCCTGCAGGACCCTTTTAGATCTTTACCTTCTCACGTTAAACCTACGTCCTTTTAATTCTGGACTCTCCTACCCTGGGGAAAAGACCTTGGCGATTATGCAGTGGTAACTTCCAAGAGGGAGTTGGGTGAGTACTTGTGAAGGAAAACATTTGCAGGACAATGAGGAAACAGCAAGGGTTGCAGAACTAAATGCAAATCTCTTTCAGTGAGACAGCAGAGGAATGGAGGGCCGAATAGCTTCCTGCACTGCATTGATTGATAAATGAGCAAATTTGGCACTCGGTTGTCTCATGCTATAAATTTGCCGCATGTGATTAGTAACAACACCTTTGCAGCTTGACTTAACAGCTGGCTCTGACCTAACTTTCATGTGCTCATTGAGAATCAGTGTTAACACAATGGGACTGTGACGAACAAGGGAGTCATTCCCAGTCATGCTCCCTCATTCATTCCAGGAACTGCAGCCAACAAAAGTTGGAAATGCACTGACGTTTTTGGAATTTTCTCTTCCTCCTCTTCATCCCCACCCGCTCTCTGTCTTCTCCTTTCAGAGCAACCTCCCGCCCAGCAGAGCCAGTCGACGTTACAGCCGGTGCCCGCTGTGCACAAGCAGCATCTGAGCCAGCAGCACCCTTCCATCACCTCGCTCAACAGGAACTCGCTGAGCCAGAGGAGGAACCAGAGTCCGGCCCCCGCGGCCGTCCTACCCAGCGAGCTGCCCACCACGCCAGAATCTGTTCAGCTGCAGGACAGCTGGGTTCTCGGCAGCAATGTGCCACTGGAGACCAGGTACCCACGCGGAACCAGCGTATGCGCCGCGCTACCGGTTGGGGGATCCCGTCGTTTTGAACAAGGCAAGGGCGTAGCGTTCTGACAAGCCCGGAATGGGAGAATCCACTGCGCGCCAGCCAAAGGCTTTCCTTTTGTTTCACGATGGCGCTGCTTAGCTGGGGTTCTGGGGAACGTCCTAACACTAGGCCCCGCTGCTAACCAGGAATGTGTCTCCTTTTCACTTTGGCAGGATGCTAGTCCCACGTTCTCAGCATGTGTGCTGTTCTGTCACTGTGTCAGGAGACTTGATTTCGTTGTGGGATGATTTACAGGAGGAGACAACGAACAGGCGTCTTCCGCCATTCAGTTAGATCTGCATCCTAACTCCATTTATCTGCTTCTCTCCCTAATGCTTCATACATTGCCTTCCAAAATAAAATGTCATTGCTGCTTTAATTAAGTTAATGTTTTGCAGTTATCCTCACTCGCACACAAGGAACAGATTCCTCTATCACTACTCACTGGCGTTATTGCCATTTGTGCACCTCACTGAACATTACAGTCACAGATTTACCAGAAAATGACAAAATTGGGATTTTTAATTTCATTTCTTGGTACTGTTGAACAACAATATTCTTGGTTGCTTGACCTATGCCTTTTAGAATCACACAATTATTGAAGGCAGAAAGAGGCCAGAAGCACTGGAGAAACTCAGCAGGTCTTGCAGCATCGATGAAGAGAAAGCAGAGTTAACTTTTTGAGTCCAGTGACCCTTCTGAAGATGCTGTAAAATCTGCTGAGTTTCTTCAGCAATTTTTACTTTAATTTCAGATTACCAGCAGCCGCAGTTGTTTATTTTAATCTAAAAGGCGTCAACTTGCCAGCTGCAAAATGAGTCACCCAGTCGAATCCCACATTCCATCATTTGACCACTAACCCTGCAGGTTGTGAAACTTCAGCCTCGTTTCCAGGCAGCTTCTTTATATTTATCGAGGGTTTCATTTCAGGCAACAAGTATCACACCCCCACCACCTTCTGAGTAAAAGAATATTTTCCTCCTCTCCTCACTAATCTTGCTCCCAATTGTTTTAAATCCATGCCACCGAGTCACTGACAGCCTTGCTGAGCTAAATAGGCCAATCCCGTCTCCTTTATGCATGCCCCTCGCAATTTTGAAACATCCCTGTCAAATTTCCCTCCCATCATCAATGGAAAACAAACCCAGCCTATCAGACCTTTCATCATTGCTGTATTTTTCTGGTCCTGGGAATGTTGGTGCAAATCTCCTCTGTCGCCTCTTTAGCACAATCACATCATTTTCCATCATGGAGTGACCAGAACTGCATACCCTAGTCAGGTTGATGACCTAACCAATGGTTTATACGGTTCCAGCATTTCTGTCATCTACTATGCTTCGGCCAAAAAAGGAAAGAATTCAATTTGCCTTCACAACCACCTGATTGACTTAATTTGCTACCTGCAGGGATGTAGGAACGTTGTAGGGAGGCGATGGCTAGTGATATTATCTGTTAATTCAGTGACCCAGGTAATGTTCTGGGCACTGAGGTTCAAATCCCATCACGACAAATGGTTGAATTTGAATAGGGAGAAAAAATCTAGAATTAGGAGTCTAACGATGACTATGAATCCAATGACAATTATTAGAAAACCCATCTGGTTCACTAATATCCTTTAGCGAAGGAAACTGCTGCCCATTCCTTGTTTGACCTTCATGTGACTCCGGACCTCAGCAATGTGGGTTACTCTTAAGTGCCCTCTGGGTTATTAGGAATGGGCAATAAATGCTGGCCTAGCTAGTGATGCCTTCATCCCATGAATGAATTTAAAAATGCCTAGCAAGGTCCATACCCACGTCTTAGTATTCTCCAATTAACTGTGTCCCTTTGCTCTTTTTGACCTCCCTAAATGCATGTAGAATCACTACAGTGCAATAGGCCATTTGGGCCAAGAAGTCTGCAACGACCCTTTGAAGAGCATCCCACCCAGACACAGCCCCAACTCGATCCCCATAAGATTGCATTTCCCATAGTTAACACAGCTAGCCTATACATCCCCGGACACTACAGGCAATTTAGCATGGCCAGCCCACCTAACCTGCACATCTTTGGACGGGGGTGGGAAACCGGAGCACCCAGGTACAAGGAGAACATGCAAACTTCATACAGACAGTGACCCAAGCCTGGAATTGAACTTGGGCCCCTGGCATTGTGAGGCAGTAGTGCTAACCGCTGTGCCACTGTGTTGCCCAAATGTTTCTTCAAGTTAAATTCCATCTGCTACTTTTCTCTCCAGCTGCCCAGTCCACTGATATCTTCCAGCAATACACTGCTACCCTCCTCATTGTCAGTCATGCAGCCAAATTGTGTGTCATATTCACCCTTGTTGGTCATGACCAGCAACTATGCCCAAGTCGTTAATATATGCCACAATAAGCAGGGACTTGTTTGTGAGCCTTGTGAAACCCCACTGGAAATAGCTTTCCAGTCACAAAAACACCAGTCAACAATTATCCTTCATTCCCTTACACCGAACAAATCTTGTATCCAGTTTGTTAAATTTCCCTGGATCTCAGGGGCCTTTCGTTTTTAAACAAATCTGCCATTCACAAGTTTGTGCTTTGCTAAAATTCATGTAGACCACCTCAACTGCACTACCCTCATCTGTCCTCCTTGTTACTTCATCAAAATATTTGCTCAAGTTAGGCACATTCTTCCCTTCACAAATCAATGCTGACTAACCGTGATTAATTCACACCTTTCCAAGGGGCATGTTATCCTGTCTTTCAGAATTGATTCCAATAATTTGCCCAGTACTAAGGTCAGACTAACTGGCCTGTAATTATTTGGTCTATCCCTTGCTCCCTTTTTAAACAAAGATGAACCTTTCTGACTGCATGCAATGAAAATTGTAATGAAGATCCTCGAGACAGGGAGGTCAATCAGCAATGAACCATTGTTATTTGAAAGTGTCTCTAAAACCGGTTGTGACTTTTTTCTTGCAAATTGAGACACTTCAGGAGAAGAACTGCTGGCTTTCTTTATAACAACAGAATTCAGCCACAGCTTTCTCAGTGTCTGTTAAATGAAATATGTACATTTTGAATTGTTGAGTTTCTGACTGGTCTTATTTAGGTTTTAACAGAGAGGGAAGAAAAAGTCTGAGAGTCAGTTATGGATGGAGGACTGCCTATAATTTGGGGCAGTAAATAGGCAGCGTTACTTCTAACTGACAGAATAATCTTAGCAATTGAACTGCAGCCTGCTGTCATGGGCACAGGGTGAAAGGGGTTAAGAATGACAATTTATACCCTTTGTATCGTGCCTTAGAAGCAATGAAAAGTCCCAAGGCACTTCACAGGAATGCTATAAAGCAAAATTACACAGCAAGTCACAGAAGGCAATACTGCAGTCTATTTAGCATTCCAGTACAGAAGCTCAGATTGTAGGACGCCTTGCTTTCTACGTTATTAAAGTATTGTTTTTCTTAGTTAATTTTATTTCCCTCTTCTGCTCTTTCTCTTCCTGAAGTGTCTGGCTGAAGATGTGTTGCAGCTCTCCAGGGTTCAGCAGCATTGAATATCTCATTAGCTGTGCCTCACATACACGGCAGTCACTGTAGGTCGGCAAGACCTTTTATTTGCACAAGAGGCATCACAACCACAGCACAGCCTACACATATGTGTAGATGAGCATCACACACACAAATTCCCACCACTAACAAAAGCCAATTATTTTTAGTCAACCTATTTATTTAGACATTATATGACACAGGGCGATTTTGAATCCAGACCTTCCCGACTCTCTCACCTGTTTAAGATCTGCCAATTCCCAACGTAGAACTGTGGAAAATTTACAGCACAGAAATAGGCTACTTGGCTCCTCATGTCTGTACCCAGAATTAACCCAGGACCACAGCAGGGACCACGGTCACCCTGTTGAAATTTTGGATAACCTCTGCTTTTTGATTTGAGCGAACATTTTGAGCACCAATGGGTTAATATGCGAATAATTGATTTCCTGTAAAAGGCCTTAAAGACATGCACCAAAGCAGATTTTCAATTTAATGCCTTGCCATTAAATAATCCCCAGGGCTGAATGGAGAAATCATTCGCGGAAGGTTTTGAACCTCTGACTGAGCCCATCTGATTTTCTGTCCATTAATTTAAGTGTTTCATTTCAGTGCTCACTGTCCAATTTTCCTCCATGTGCCCAACCCAAATGATTATTTAATGGCCAAGAATAAAAGGGCAAATTCTGTCACACGTAATGCACAAGATGCAAAAGGCTGTTGCAGGAAGACGATGCCTTCAAAGCAACCTGCCACCTTTCAGTGTTTTTCTGCTTATTGCAAGCATTCTTTTATAATTTGTCATCTGACTGATGATATTTCTTTTCCCTCCTTGTTTCCAACATCTCTTTCCCACTTGCCATTTGCTTCTTTGCTCAATATTCCTCCCAATCTACAACTATGCACATTCTTCCATCTCCTGGTAATCTGGGTGTCTTAAAATCACAATTCACCAACTCACTGAGCCTTTTCAGAGGCCAGGGAGGCCTTCCAGCTTTAATCCCTGGCACACCATCACCCAGTGTTCCTGACTTCCTTCGAACTTCACCCATCACTGAGCGACTAATTCTACCTCTTCCATCCCCATTAGTCCACCTATTGGTGTCCCACTTTGTGAGCTTGACCCTTCACCTCCAATTTCACAAATTTCCGGGAAGGAAATGGAGAGTTGACCACGTTGTACATGAAGCTGCTTGTATTCCTTTCTCACTGCATCCCTTTACAAGCAGTTCCATGTTGACTGCACTGGTCACACCTGACCCAAGTAATTATGAGTGTCTGGGAGTGAGCAGTACAGGGGCTAATTCAATCTACGAAATTCAGATGGGCAGTCTACATCTGAGCCCTGGGACTGAATAACAGGCAGTTCATTCTTAAAACACGTATTTGACTATTTGCAATGAGTTTAATGAAAGAAAATTAGTGTAGCC